AACAAATTTTCCAGGCCATCTGTATTTAATTTTCTGGTTAAAATGTATTCTAATGCATACTGTTTTTTTAAATCAAGTAACAATTTTTTCAAAGATGTATTGCATATAATTATTCCTATTGACAATGACGCTTTGATTAATAATATTTAATAAAACAAAATGTATTATTAATTTTAAATGATATGAAATGTTTGTTATTATTACCCTTTTGAAAAGGTAGTAATGATCAGTGGMGCCGAACCCTATATACAGGTGGGGCAACCGCCCCACCTTTAAAAGTGGGTGGGTGGGTCGTAGGTTCCAGGTGGTTAGGGTGGTCGTGGGTGTGGATGAGAGATGTTGTGATACATAAAACGCTTTCACTACCTATAGTAAGTTATAAGTATAAAGTTAGAAAAAGTTTATGACCTTTTACGTTGCGAAAGAGTAAGTAGTGGGGTCATCTGGGTGCAGGGGTGGGTCGTGGGTATTAATTTTTGTACTTTGCCCCACCTATAAAAATTGAGTTCGGCGCCACTGGTAATGATCTTTTACCATGTACTCTCATTGATTCAATGAACTCTGTCATCCTGTCAAGTAATTCATTTTGTACATTTTCATTCAAACCATAACTTGGTACCCCATTATCATATTTATGTTGGGTGTTAAAGAGGTCRAACCAGTCATTGAACAATGAAACTACTTGTGATGCCTGTTATTTAAATATAAACAATTTTATTATTAACACAAGTAAGTGGAAAAATAATACTTGCTTCTGCCCAGTTTAAATTGTTCATATAATTTYTTTCTCCACAGAAGGAAATAGCTTTAGCAACTGTGYTGGAAAAAATTTGTACTGCCAATTTCACATTCATACGACCAGTTCCTTGTACAGTTAGATGCCTTTCACTAAGTTTATATGCTAACTTATAGTCATGTCCAGTATTTAAATTTAATAACAATTCAAAAATATTTTTCCCAATAAAATGTCCATTTYTAAGTATATATCCTCTACACAATATAATATTTTAATAATTTTCAATTTATACAATAAAAAATGAAGTGTGAACTACTCACTTATCCAATAAGTGATTACGAGCCAACTTCAATAAATGTGGAGGATCCGCAAAAACATATACATTATTTCTAGTTATAGGATGTTCAAAAGAAGTCTTTTCTGTTGACACATCTAAACTTTTCCATAAACCGACATTGGAAGACCCCATGTCAYTCACCATTGAAAGTACATTGAATCCAATACTGTATAACTTCTCAATTATATAATATAATAGCTCTTTTGTTACTTTTGTATCAAAGTCATAAAATATTGGTTGCTTCCAATCACTTACTAAACCTTTTCATATAATTTTGCAAACATATAATATATCAACTATTATACAAAATAAAATAATAAAAAAAAAGTAAGTACCT